AAGAGATTGAGATTGTTCACAGCTTCAGTTTGCTTGGCTCCACAGTCAACACTCTTGGCACCAGTAGCCAGGAAATTAAAAGGCACATTGCCATGGGAAAGTCTGCTACTAGGGACCTCTCCAGAGTACTGAAGAGCAATGGTGTCTCCTTGGAGACTAAGGTGCATTTGATACAGGCCATGGTCTTCGTAATCACTTGTTATGCATCAGAGAGTTGGACGACAATGACCAAGGAGGATAGAAGGAGAATTGATGCCTTTGAGCTGTGGTGCTGGAGAAAAGTATTGAGAATACCATGGACTGCTAGGAAAACAAGCAGATTCATCCTGGAAAGGGTTAAACTGGGGGGCTCCTTGGAGGCAAGGATTCTGAAGCTCCATTTAACATACATTGGACATATTGTGAGGAGAGACTGGTCCTTGGAGAAGGACATCATGCTTGGGGGGAAGGCCCTCTATGAGGCGGATTGATTCAGTGACTGGGATAATTGGGATGGGAGTGTCAGAGACAGTGCAATTGGCACAGGACAGAGCAGAGTTTAGGGCTATTGTCCGTAGGGGCGCTATAAGTTGCAAGCAACTCAACAGCACATAACAACAACAATAGCCTGGAACAGGACAAGCATTACAAAAGGAATTGGGGGAGGGGGAGGAAAATGCACATAAATGAGAAAATTAAAACCAATCTCTTTTTGATCCTTGACTAAATTGTTTTTTTAAAATAAATTTTAAAAGAAAAAGGGGAGACAAACCAAGAAACATCGATGAGAGCCTCTTTCTCGTCCATGCGAATTTGAGCAGGCCCTGAATGTGCCTTAGTGTCCTTTTAGGAAACTGGTAAAGTTTCCAAATGAAATCTCTAAGTATTGTGCCAGGGTTAGTTTCTTAATTTTTAAACATACTGTGATTATGTAGGCGTTAACATTAAGATGAGCAGTGTGGGAAGTGTATGTGGGAACCCTTTGTCTTCTCTCTTTACTGCTCTTTTGTAAATTTAAATGTATCAAAAAAGGAAAAGTTCAGTTTTAAAAAATGATATGAGAAGAGCTCTTTTAAAAGGTTTCTGTGAAGATCCTCTGTGCCAGGACCAAACAGTGGCCAGCAGGAGCTCAACGTTGTTGTTGTGCTGTTAACTAATATCTGACTCATAGCTCCAGAGGGTTTTCAAAGGCAATAAATTGCACAGGAGATTGTCAATCCTTGTCCCACAAAGCAGCTGGTAGATTTAAACTGCGTACCTTTGGGATTGCAGAGCAACTTCTGAGCACTAGGCCACCAGAGCTCCCTGTGCATTAGTATAGACCCGTATATTGAAATGGGTAGATTTCAGTAGCCTAAATCCCCCAACTCCATTGAGGTTTCATGCCAATCATTTCATGTCAGTTAGCTCAGTCCTGCAGGTTTCTGGGTATGACACGGGAATAAAGTCTCCATCAACACACTGGTCTCGAGGGTCTCTAAAGCCCCTTAAACTTGTGGGTGCTGCTTTCCCCTAGTTCCTTGCTTGTCCCTGGTTGAAGACAGGCCCTCATGCAGAGCCCAACCCAGAACTCTTGTTTAATTAAGATTCTACGGATTGAGGTTCAATGTCAAGAAGACAAAGATTCTCCCCACTGGACCAATTGGCAGCATCAGGATGGATGGTGAAGAGACTGAGATTGTTAACAACTTTAGTCTGCTTGGCTCCACAGTCAACACTCTCGGCACCAGTAGCCAGAAAATTAAAAGACGTATTGTGATGGGAAAGTCTGCTGTTAGGGACTTCTACAGAGTACTGAAGAGCAATAGTGTCACTCTGGAGACTAAGGTGCATCTGATACAAGCTATGGTCTTTGCAATCATTTGTTATGCATCAGAGAGTTGGACAATGACTAGGGAGGATAGAAGAATTGATGCCTTTGAGCTGTGGTGCTGGAGAAGAGCACTGAATGTACCATGGACTGCCAAAACAGATTTATCCTGGAAAGGGTTAAACCAGGCTGCTCCTTGGAGGCAAGGATTCTGGGGCTTCGTCTGACATACTTTGGACATGTTGTAAGGAGGGACAAACAGGTCGTCCTCGGAGAGGGACATCATGCTTGGGAGGGTGGAGGGACAGTGCAGGAGGGGAAGACCCTCTATGAGGTGGATTGATTCAGTGACTGGGTAATCAGGATGGGTGTGTCAGAGACAGTGCGATTGGCACAGGACAGAGCAGAGTTTAGGGCTGTTGTTCATAGGGTCGCTATGAGTCGCAGGCGACTCGACAGCACATAACAACAACATTAAAGAGTCAAGAAAACAAAATTGAAGATGCACAACATAAAACCAAATAAGCTGGTCTAAGGATAGCTATCTTCATCATAGCCATGATTTTGAAATCTAGAGCTTAACCAAGACCTTGAGTGGACTCAAATCCCTTCATTTTCACAGATGAACAAAGCCAAATCCAGAGATTGTATTTTCATTTATAGGGAGTTCTGGTGGCTCAGTGGTAAGCTGTGCTGCCAAACCAAAGGTACAGTTTGAACCCACCAGCTACATCATAGAACTATGGGCAGTCTCCTTCTGTGTGTTATGTTGTGTTATATGCCATTGAGTTGCCTGTGACCCACAATGACCTTATTTACAGTAGCTCTTAACTCTGGCCTGTCCCGAGCCAGTCTCATTAATTCCAACACACCAACCCCCATTACCCCAGTTACTGTATAAATCCATCTCATCTGGGATCTTCCTCTCCTACGCTGTCCCTCCACCCTTCAAAAATAAGGAACGCTTCATGAATTTGCCTGTCATCCTTGCCAGGGTCCATGCTAATAATCTTCATCCAGTGAAGGGCCAACTATGAGTCATTGCTGACTCAACAGCAGAGTCTGGCTTTTCATTTACAAATATGGTTAGTTTTGCTTCCATGTTACATTATTGTAGGTTGGTTATCCTTCCACCGGTGGTTTCACATTATCTGTACCAACGGTAGTTTGAGCCCCGAATGTCCCAGTGAGTCATGCCTACCACTAAGGGGAATGAATGACAATTCACAGCTTTTTACAGGAGACATCCACTCATTGCTGCTGAGTTGGAGCCTACTCATAGCAGATCCTCCAAATGGTTTTCAAAGGTAAATTGCACAAGAGATTGATTTCCCATCTTCTCTCAAGGAGCCACAAATGGCTTTGAACTTGGTAGACAAGTGACACCTTTGGGTGAGCCCTCTAGGTCACCAGAGCTCCCTAGCGGGTAGAGATAGAGGGGTCTTGGTTCTTTTTCCACTGAAAAGTGAGAAACAATCAGCTAACAAGAAACTCCAGGTCTTTGACATCTAGAGGTGCTTCAGTTCGAGAACCTATAAAAAGTCTTACTACCTCTACAGGAAGGTTAAGGCCTTCTTCCCCGTAGAGGGGTGTCTCAAAAACAGTGAGCTGGGCAGCAGCCATTCCAGCCATCTTTACATTCTGAGAAACATTTTTCTGAAAACCCACTTTTCCTTACATGACAAATTCATTCCTTTCTAAGTCCACTCTGATCACAGGCATGTTACTATGTCCCCACAACTACATGACCCCATTTCAGAACACACCGGCATAAGTCTAACATATATTTACGCACAAGGGTCACGTGCATAGTAGGTAGGAGCCTTCCTATTTGTAGCTGCTATTAGGTGCTGTTGAGTCAATGGTGACTCACAGCAATCCTATGAAGGACAGATTGGAACCCTGTCCCATCCTGCACCATTGTCCCATCTCCAATGTCCTTGACTATATAGTTAAAGTCACTGTATCAACCCATCTCATTGAGGGTATTCCTGTTTCACTCACCCTATTTTTCCTAACCTAGCATGTCTTTTTCCAAGGACTGGCCCATCGTGGTAACAGCCTGAAGTACATGAGACAAAGTTTCATCATTCTTGCATCTAAGGGGAACCCTGGCCGTACTTCCTCCAAGACAGCTTTGTTCTTTTGGCTATGGGCTATGCAATACTCTCCACCAATGTCACAATCAAAGGCACAGAGTCTCTGTAATGCTGAAGATCTGAAAGGGCTCAGTAGTTCAACGAAGCTTAAAACCTATAGTAAAAAAAATAATAAAAATAAATAAAAAAAAACCCTATAGTCAGAGCTCTGCCAAGAGGCAAGATAATACGATAAAGATACCTAGATCTACTAAAAACAAATCCCAGTGATAACACAGTGCAAAGAAGGCATGAGGAGAAAAGGTAATTCTGGGCCAGTCAAGAAAGAGAAATAAAATGAGGACTCAGTACAGGAACAAGGTCCAACTATGAGTCTTGAAGTAGGGTTGCTGTTGATTGCCAGAGTCCAGCGATCCTATAAAAAAGCCTGAAGCCTTTCTAGAACTATCATCATTTACCAAAGTTCAGAGCTTCCAGAAGCATGTTTAGGAAGGGGATGCCACTCCTGCTAGGCTATAAGGAAGCCTGTGATACAACAGGAAAGTAAGTGCTCATCATTTGCTAAGTGAAAAGCTACCAATCCAAAAGCACACAACAGCTTCTCAGGAAAAGGCCTTGAAATCTGCTAGCAGATTACAGCCTAGCAAACCCTGAGGCAGTTTTGTCAGAGCCTGTTCTGTGGTGACTGAGACCTAGATGTGGATTCTCCAGGCTTGTCCTTCCACAAACCAGCTGTAGAATGGTGAGAACATCTAGCCTAGAGTCAGCCTCATTAAGTGTCTAAGAGTTGAATAAAACCCTTGAAGCAGGTTTCCTCCTCTGCAAACTAGCAACTCCTATCTTGCACAGTAAGTTATAGTGTTAAGCAAAAGACACAAATGTGCCTGGGCCCTAGCACTCTGAAACCAGTTCTGCCTAACCTGGCAGCAATGTTCTTTACATCAGCAACAGTTCTTGGACTCTGTCTGGGGCCAGGCTGGGAGGTGGAGGCAGCGGAGCGGGGCAGGGGCGGGGGCCTAGGCAGTGCTGGGCACCCAAGCAAGGCCCAAAGCCCAGTGGGAGCCAGTTCCTGGTTGTTACCGGGCAGGTCACACAGCTCTCTGGCTGCTGCCATGGTGCTTCCTCTGCCCTGGCTCTCTCGATGCTGTTGCCGGGGCCTTCTGCCCTCCTGGCCCATGGTTTCCCAGGTCTCCCGGTGGTACTGCTCCCAGAATCCCACAGCAAGCCAGACCAGCTCCTCAGACAGCGGGAAGATGAAGTCAAACCCCAAGGTAAGGGGCACCAGTGGTGGAGTGGGTGAAGTGAACTGGCATTAGGGAGGGGGGAACAGCCATCCCATCCCCACCAAGCAGCTTGAAGCAGACAGCACTCCCAGCCCAGGAACCTGCCTAGTTCCAAATGCTCAATTCCTGGCTCCCTCTCCTATCCCCACCTCCACCCCTCCTCCTGACCTAGGGCTTCTCTCCCTCCCCAAAGCTGCACACAAAGTCCTTGAACAGGAATTTCCCCCTCATCTAACAGTTAATTATTTCTTACAGTGGAGGGAAAACCAGTCTTCTTTCCATGACTCCACAGTCTGTTGCCAAAGGGGACTCTTAGGGTCCAGTTAGGTCACTCAGAATTCTCTTGCAGAGGCTTATGCCCAAGATAAGCACCACCTTGGCTTCCCTGGACACATGACCTTAATAATAAGGTTTAAAAGTCCAAAGGGGACAGTGGGATTCCTTGCTCCCCCATTCCATGACCGATGATCTCTTCAATGACACTTCATGCAGGGTCCTGGGCCTCGCCGCAAAGCTGAATTAGCCCAAGTTGAAGACCTGCTCGAGGAGCAGCTGGAGCTGTACGAGGCACTGCTGGAAGGGCAAGAGGGTGCCTGGGAGGCCCAGGCTCTAGTGCTCAAGATCCAGAAGCTAAAGGAACAAATGAGGAGACACCGAGAAAGCCTTGGGGAAGATGCCTAAGCTTCTCACCAGCTCCCATTCACTCTCCAACACAGAAAGCACTGCACCCACCGCTGGCCTCTCCCAGAGAATGGAGTAAATGGAAGTGAGCCACCCACATGTCTAGAGGACGGAGGAGGCAAGTTGGGGGGGACCCCACAGTAGCTGTAATCTGCTTAAGCTTGCAATGACACTCACCCACTGACCTCTCAGCCCAAATGGGGTCCTTTTATCCTGCACTAAAGTGGCCTCATCTGAGAAGCAATAAAGGGATCAAGTGCGTACAGATACCAGAGACACATGTTTCATTTTTAGTTTTGTTAAAAAATTCTGACAAATCAGGTACAGGGATACAGGAGTGGTGGTGATGCAAAAGAGGGAAGCCATGGGGGAGGGGTCAAGGCTGGGTGGCAGTAGTGTCTCCTTCACCCCCATGCCTGGTGGTGTCTCCTGAAGTGGGGACAGACTGTCATGTTCCACAACGGACGAATCTTCTACCGTGTCTGTTCAATGTAGGAGGAGATGTCTATCTCGTCAGGCAGCTCACTAATATTAACCTCAAAGCGATCCTGAACATCATTGAGGATCTTGGCATCATTTTCATCTGACACAAACGTGATGGCCAAGCCCTTGGTGCCAAATCGGCCTGCTCTGGCCACCTGAATGGAGACAGATTAGGTGTTAAGACCAAAAGACCCATAAGGGATAAGGACTTAAGGTATGAAAAGACAGAGAAAACTAGAGTAAAGAGAAGAAAATGGGATGTCTGAGTGTGAGGTTTACCCGATGTAAGTAGGTGTCAGAATCCTCAGGCATGTCGTAGTTAAAGGCAATGTTCACCCGCTCAATGTCCATGCCTCGGCCAAATAGATTGGTGGCCACAAGAATACGTCGTTGAAAATCTTTAAATTGCTGGTACCGAGAGAGTCTTTTGAGAAAGCAAATCAGAAAAATGAGATGCATTTCTGTCAATGGTCTCTCTTCCTTCCAAGGATAAAAAAACATCCTCCCCAATTGTTAACTCACCTCTCCTCCTGAGGCATCCCTCGGTGGATGGCAATGGCTGGGAAGTTCTGCTCTACTAGGAGCTGGGCCAGGGCAATACATCGCTGCACAGACTTCACAAAGATCACCACCTGTTGAGTGTTATGTGGGGGAGTGTAGGCCCATGACAGTGTGTGAGAGAATATTGGGGAGGGTGTTTTCAGTAAGTTCACTTTTAAAGAAATTCCTCACCCATTAGCCCTTTTGCTCTAAACCTGGGATTTTCTCTCATGTGGCTTTGATTTCATTTAGAGGACTGAGCTCGTGTGGAGCCCTAGTGGCACAATGGTTTAAGAACATGGCTCCTAAAACTGAAAGGTCAGCAGTTCAAATCCACCAGGCACTCTAAAGAAGAAATATTGAACTGTCTGCTTCTGTAATAATTTAAAGTCCTAAAAACCCTATGAGGGAGTTCTACGCCAATCCAGAGTTACTATGGATTACAATCAACTCAGCAGAAAGTTGTTCTTTTTCAGACAAGCTTCAGGTCCCTCAAGTGGTGAAAATAGTAAAGCACTCAACTACTAGCTAAAATGTTAGCAGTTTGAATTAATCCAGAGGTGTCTCAGCAGAACTGGCAATTTGTTTCTGAAAATTCAAAGACTTAAAAACCTTTTAGGGCAGCTTTGCTCCACACACATGGAGTCAACAGCAATTAAAATATATGCCGAAAGAAAAGGATGAAGCTACTTCATGAAAAATAGAAACTAAAATTAGAAAAACTATGACTAGCAAAATTGGGGTCTATTTCACCAAAATAAGTAAACCCAAGGGACCCACTCTAATTTGGGAAAGTTTTTCCAATACAAATTAACCACAGTAGGTAAATTGGTAAGACTTCTCTGTGGTAGATATTAGGTGTCGATGAGTCAACTATGACTCATAGCAACCCTATGAGCAATGGCTCTAATCCTTGCTGTATCCTGAGTCAAACTCTTCATTTCTGACACACTTGACCTGACTGCCAGTCACTGGGTCAATCCATCTCATCCAAGGTCTTCCTCGACTGCAATGACCCTCCACCCTCCCAAGTATGATGTCCTTCTCCAAGGACTGACATCACCTGACAACATTCCCAAAGTATGTGAGACAGAGTTCAAAACCCTTGCATTTGGTTTCACCCTCTCCTAGAGGTTTGTTCTCTTTGCAGTTTACAGTATGTTCAATACTCTTCTCCAGTACCACAATTCAAAGGCATTGATTCTTCTATAGTCCTTAGTCACTGTCCAGCTCTCAGATGCACAGCAAGCAATTGAGAAGATCATGGCCTGGTTCAGGCACACCTTAGTCTCTAGACTGACATCATGGTTCTTTAGCACTTTGCAGAAGTCCTTGAGAGCAAATTCTCCCACTGCAGCTCATCTTTTGTTGTTGAGGGTGTTGACTATGGATCTGAGCAAACATAATCATTAACTTCAATCTTTTCTCTATCTCTCATGATGCTGTCTCCTGGCCCAGTGCTAAGAATTGTTTTCTTGTTGTTGAGATGCAATTCAATGAAAGCTGAAGTCCTTTCTGCAGCAAACACTTCAAGTCCTCCTCAGTTTCTGCAAGCAAGGCCGTGTCATCTATATAACACAGATTGTTGAGTCTTCCTCCAATTACAATGCCTCATTCTTCTTCATAAAGTCCAGCCTCTCAAATTATCTGCTCTGCATAGACTGAAAAAGTTATGGGAAAAGGATGTACTTCTTTCTTGGTTCGAACCATGCAGTATTCCCTTGTGTTTGGACAAAGGCTTCCACGTTTAGGTGTAAGTTTTGCATGAACACAAGCAAATGTTCTGGGATTCTCATTCTTCTCAATGTCAGCCACAATATGCAGGGATCCACAGACTCAAATGCCTTTGTATAATCAATAAAATACAAATAAACATCCTTCTGGTACATTCTGCTTTCAGCCACAATCCATCTGCATTAGCAATGATACCCCTTAGTCCCATAGCCTCTTCTAAACCCAGTTTGTTTTTCTGATAGGTTTGTCAATGTACTGCTCTAGTCAGTTTTGGCTGATTTTCAGTAAGTTGCTTTCACGTGGTAATAGTGTTATTACTCAGTAACATTCTTTTGGCTCACTTTTTTTGGAAATAAGAGTAAATATGGATCTCTTCCAGTCGGCTGGCTAGGTCCACGAGATTTCTTGGTACAACCTGGTGAGCACATCCAGGGCTACATGCGTTTGCTGAAATATGTCAACAGATATTCCATCAATCCCTGGAACCTTATCTATTGGTTCTTAATCTCCTGAAATGGCTCTATCAGTCAATTCTTTATGGTACAGTGCCTGTGTATTCCTTCCATCTTCTTTTTAATGTTTCCAGGATCATTCAAAAATTTCCCATTGTTTTTGTTGTAGTGGTATACCAATGAGTCAGAACCGACCCATAGCTGACCTTCTGGCAGGTCTTCAGATGCAGTTAATTGCTTGGGAGGAAATTATCCATCCTTCTCCCATGGAGCAGTTGGTAGATTTGAAGCAAGTACCTTCAGTATTGCAACACAGCGTCTTACAACTAACTAGACCACCAGAGCTCCTAAGGAGCTATAAGGATTGCAAATAAAGGCTTGAATTTGTTCTTCAGTTCCTTCAGTTTGTTAAGTGCTGGGCAAGTTCCTCCCTTATTTTGATCCCATCACACATTGTGTTGTAATACTTTGTCTTCACTTTGAAATCTTCTGTTCAACTCTTTGTTAACTTCCTCATTTCTTCAGTTCCAGTTTCTTCGTGTAATATTCAGTCTCTGTTAATATTCACTTTGATCTTTTCTTCCTCCTCTGTGTAATGACCTGTTGCTTTCCTCATGGATAATATCGTTGCTAGCACCCCTTAGGTCATGTAGTTTTTGTTCATTAATGTTCAATATCTCAAATCTGTTCCCGAGATGGTTTTTCAACTCAAGGGAGACAAACTTATCTAGGTTCCTAGGATTTCCTTTAGCTCCAATCTGAACTTGCACAGTTAGCAGTCAAGCTCCAATCTGAACTTGCACAGTTAGCAGTCAAGCATCTGGCCTAGTTTTCAGATAGTGAGCTTCTCCAACTCTTTCCATAATCAATCTGATTCCTGTATAGTCTATCAGGTGAATCATGTCTATAGTCACTGTTTTTATAAAAGGTATTAGCAGGCAAGCTCTGGTGGCCTTGTGGCAAGAAGGTGAATTGTTAGAATCCACCAGATGTTCTGCTGGAGAAGGAGGGGCAATCTCCACCTATACCAGTCAGATCTAATTTGACAGTACACACACACAGAAAAAAAATGGAAAATTTTTAAAAATAGTATTTGCAAGGAATCTATCACTCACTGTGCAAAATTATATCATTCTATCTCCAGTCTCATTTCTGTCACCCTGCCTGTATTTCCCAACTACTAGTCTTTTTTCCTTGTCAACTTTTGCATTCCAATCATGAACTATTAATCTATTTTGGTTACATATTCAATAGATTTCAGACTGCAAAAACTGGTAGAAAACTTCTATTTCCTCCACTTTGGCTTTAGTTGTTGGTGCAGATTTGAATGATACTGGTATTAATAGGTCTTCCTTGTATGCACTTCAAGAAGGATCTAAAAATGGTATTTTTTAGTCTGAATTCCTTATTTGAATATGAACCTATTTTCCTTCCTGGTATAGCAGAACACATTACTGTCTAATTCAAAGCGGCCAATGCCACAATGGGTGCCAGGATGGTCAAGTGGTCTGAGGAGCCAGATTCAAGGTGCCTACCTTGCCTGTAGGTTTTCTAGTCTCCACTGGAGGCATGGGTTCAAATCCCACTTTTGACCTTGGTAAAAGCAGAGGAAATAAATGCCGATGAACTTTGTTGTCCCAAATAAAGCAGTCTTCCTATTTTCACTTCTAAGATTTGTTCTACTTCTTCAAACAATTCAAATGCATCAATCTTGCCTTTTTCCCTTTGCCCAACTTTCACATTCACACAAACTATGATGTACTTTAGTCATCAAAAGTGATTGTTTGCTTT